TATATATAATAGTTATATTATTATACACACACACACACACACACACACACACACACACACACACAATATACAGCTAAAATTATTCAGAAAATTCTCCCGTAGAAAATTTAAATATATTTTTATTCAAACTATATTAAATTATATATAAATGTAAATAATTTTCAAATATTTAGTAAAGCTATATATAAAAATTATAAATAAACTTTTATTTTGTACACCATCAAGCAAAACATTTTGTTTAAAAATCTAAAAGAATATAATTACATTTCTTCAAATTTAGTGTATAATGTATTAACTTTTTCTTTGGATTTATTTACAAGTTAATAAATGTATTATTTAGAATATTGAAAAATAGAAATTTGTAAGTTTTTAATAGCAAACTTTTACATAAAAAAAATAATTATTTAGGAAACTCAAGTTTTTACAAAAAAAAAAGAAGAAGAAGGAATCATGTTTATTTCATTTATACTTGTGAAAATAAAAATTTATTTATACAATTAGGTTAAATATTATAAAAATATGGAATTCTAGAATTCTGTATTTCGTCCAGAATCATTTATATACGATCGAAAGATATTTTGACCTATAACTTGTCTGGAAATTTAATTTTAATACCAAATATCAAATTATCTTACTCTATATTGAGTCGGTAATGTTGGAATTGACACTATGATGAGAAAAAAGCTGCAGAACCTCCGAGAGACATAGAATAAAGAAATACATTGGTACTCTGGCTAACTTATATCTTGTCTATGTCACTACTCATAATGTATATATACCATCCAGGTAAAAAAAGCGAGGAATGACAATATGCAACACCATTTTTATAGGTGTCAACCATAATTATTGACGAAGTTAGATAATGTACTTTATATTTCTTTCAATTCCTTTGTTAAGAATGTATAAAAAACCATAAAACTGCTGTATTATCATCAGATTTTTACAGAGTTACTATAGAAGGTGTTCACGATAACTTAGACCAGTATTTTTTTCGTAAACGGTAAACATTAAAGAAAAATGATATGATATTCCAATCTTTTATATTTGCAATATTTTTCGCGAAACGAAAATAATCATCACATTTTTTAATTGAATGCTATGTATTCATTTATATAATATGAAACCCTGCATTAAGTCGAGTTCAACCATATGGTATATTATGAACTATAGATTATAGATTACACTATAGACTATGAATTATAGAAAATCAAAAATAAAAGAAATAAATGTAAAACATTGTAATTTGTAATTGTAACACAATTTGTAATATTATAGTTATTAATATGTTGTATTAATAAAACTACATATCATATTTTAAACTAAAATTTTATAGAGTTCACTTTCTTTCCCCTCTCATCCTTCCAAATCTCGTGACTATCACTCAGAAGTACAACCATTTATTATAACTTTCATTATTAGTAGAGTGAATAGTTATATACGATAAACAATTATTTCCTTCTCATTATTTAGGATATCAATATTATAAAAGAATGACTTTTATTTATTAATTTTCTTATTAATTTATTTTTTGTTTATATTAGATACCTCCCTGTTACAATTTTTGCAAATAATCCTTTGCATAATTTTTTAAGTAATTATTTTATCAGTATGAAAATTTTATCACCATGAAAACAAAATTAAATCAATAATTTGCAGTCAAATGAGTTATAATCATAATCACATTCTTCTATTTCATTCCGCTTTTTATTATATTTTTATATAACAAATACATATAAAAATAATACATATAAATAAATATTTTTTGAATAAATAACTATACTATATTTTATAATTTTTTTCCTTTTTATTAATATCAAATTTAAATAACTACAAAAATTTGCTTGTTTTTAACAGTGTTATATTATATTCCTCTAAGTACAACTTTAGAAGTTAATCAAGTTAATTATTAATTGAATTTGTTTTCGGTCTGATCCTAATCTAAGAGATCTCACGGCTCCATTATATTAATTTTTATTTAAAAAAAAGAAAAAATTATAAATTATAAATAATTAATTTACAATTGTTTATCTATTTCAAGTATAGATCAATAAAAATTTTACTTTTTTATTCACTCATGTCCAATATATTTATTTTATCTAAATATATTATAAAAAATATTAATGCTTCACTTGATTAAAAAAAAAAAAAGGGAAAAGTAGAGAGAAAAGATCTAAGTGGGAGAAGTGATGGAATCGATATTAACAAGTTTCTTTCCGTCGATATTCACCAAACATTATTTTACATTTAGAAATTTATAAAATTTATTTACTTAAAATCAACTTTTAACGTATACAAAATTTATTTGTTATATGTATATAAATATATAAACGTCCTTGACATTGTAATTATTAATAATTGCATATAAACTATAATCTAATAATAATTATTAAAACATTATAAAGCAAGATACGTCACAAAACACACTGAGCTTTGAAAAACACAAAAATATCATTAAGGTGAAATTTTTAATTTAATAATTAAACAAATATGAATAACAGGAATTTCACTTTTAATAACACATGCTCACGTTGCTTACAAATTGTGCATGTATATATATAAGCGTGATTGAAGAAGAAACCCACACGTTTCATAATATATATTGTAATGTATACATACATATATAGCATACGCACATATATAGATGCATATGGAAAGTAGATGACATTCCATAAAATTATAGCGTAAAATCCAAATATTTTTACTTATTTACAACTTTCCTGTTCTAAATTTAATTAATTATATTGTCATAGGTTACGTCCCTATCTATTTATGTACGACATAATTTATTAATATCTTACTAAGGATATTAATAAAAAAATTTGGAAATTATTTTATAACAACAGTGTAACAAAATAATAGAATTTACAACAAATTTAATTATAATCAGTACTTGATCAGTTCAGCCTTTCATTTAGTCATGACAGTACATTTACATGACATAGAATTAATTAAATGAATGTTATATACTATTTTATTTATATATTTGTATTATTACATTTTTTTCTCTATATAATTTCATGATTTGAATTTTAATTGTAATATGACCATATTATTAATTCAATATATCAATGTATAGTATAAAATAACCTTATACAAATGACCAACAAGAAAATGGAATAAAAAATATTATTTAATAATGCAAAATATATATTAATTTTAATTATATATTAAATTCAGGAGAAGATAAACTCAGTAAAATTTTGTGTGATTTGCAATCTTATGAATGGTCAAATTTTAAGTACATAATTTTTTGTAGTTTCTTGTTATGAAATTTGCTACAAAATGTACTAAAATGATGAAATACTCAACAATGATTCTCTATTTATATACTTAAAAAAACTTGTAATTCTTTAGCAGTAACAAATAAGTGAGTTTAATAATTTTACGAACTCTTTTATTGAACTCATTTTTTAAATATTTCCTTTACTTATAAATATATTCCTTGTATGTCCAAATTTTATTGTTTCTAATTTTATTAAAAATTACTGATGTTAACTAACTGAATTTGAAGTACTTACAATTTATTATAACAAATTTTAATAAAAATATATTCCAATTAATATTTTAAATCTCATCTTTATTTCAAAATATTTTTAGAAAATTCATTTCTTATTCCAATTAAATGTACATATATCCTTAAGTAATATATTTATTTACAGTGTATACACGTATTTAAATAATTTTTTATTTTCTTTATTTTCATAACAAAATTGAAAATATTCTAATTTTTATAAAATTTAGCCTATTATTTATTAGCATTGAAATCTTAATAAATTATATTATAAATTTTACTGTGAACCAATAATACTATAAATTTTTTCTAAAATCTATATAAATCTACTAAAGGAATAGAATCTACAACTAAAAAGTTAATAATGTACAGTTACTTTTAAACATTATATCACAAATTTAGTAAATAACAACACTTATTATAGTAAATAATTGTTTTTTAAATTATATGCAAAATTGCATACTAATTCTAAACTAATTTCTTACAAAACTCTACTAAATGAATTTGTGTAATGAAGATACTTCTACACTCCTAAGTCATATTGAATAATTTATTGTATTTATTTATTCTATTATATTTTTCATAAATACTTGACATAAAAGGGTTCATATCATAAATATCATCTGTATGATTAGACAAAATTCAATTCTATAGTCTGATCATTTTCTTTTATTCATAGTGATCAGCTTCGATTAATTCAACCTTTTTATTTTAGAACATAAGTGTTCTATATAACTCAAATAGTTCTAGAATAAAAAAATTCGTTTAAATAACTTTTTTTTAGCTAACTTTATCATATTTACACAGGAATAAGATAACTTGACTTTACTAGTGACCAATATAAAATGATGTCTGATGTACATAGCGAAGATTTTATATTAAGTACTGATAATAATAATCAGGAAATCAAATAATATGTTTCATTATCAAATATGTAATATACCTAATTTGTCAACTTATAATACATAAACCTATAATATCAAATATATGAACAAATCCGAGTTATCCATAAAATTAGAATAATAAAAGAAGTTATTTGTAAAATGACATAAAAGAACATTTATTTAAATATAAAGTAAAATAAGAATTTATGTGTTTATTAATTAATGTTGTAAATAAAATAATGTCCAAATATTAGAGAATAATTGCTAATCAAATAAAATAATATATCGTTTGAATAATTATTTTATTCAATAAAGCAATTTCTTTGTAATTACATCTTAAAGAATAAAACATTGTAAAATAATTTGTTAAATAATTATTATTTGATTATTACTTTTCAATATTTAAATTTATTATTTCTATAATAATCTATTAAATACATATTTTAACTTAATTCAGATTACATGTTGCGTACCCAATACGAATTTTATTTAAATTATCCGCCATATATATAATTTTTACTTCTTCTATACAAGATGTCGTCTTTATCTGAAAGAGAATATCCGGCTGGAAGTTTCAATCTGTTTTGTATGACGTGGCTCACAAAACAGCACAGTTTTAAAGACTCCGTGCCTAGCGATGGAGATGTATTTTCGGTAAATACTATTGTGCTCACAACGAAATGTGTTTTTGAAAGCGTGTGAAAAAAGTGTTGTGATCCATCTAATTTTAAGAACTTTCTATGATTGATACATACTCTGGTAAGTTACATTTTATTTTTATTGTAATATATATCAATATAACCTTATAATACGTTTGGACACCATTAAAATTTTTTATTTCAAAATAAAGGTTGTTATATTTTTAATAAAATCGACATAACTGAATTCTAATGTCATATTTTTCCTTTTATTTTCTACTAAATTATAGTTTTTCATACTTCCTTTGCAAGTATAAATATTATGAAACAATTGACAAATAAATTTTAGTATTGAAAGATTAAACTAATAAAACTTTTAAATTTTCATTATTAAAGAAGAATATTTCTAAATACATACATATATGAAGTCATCAAAATATAAATAGCAAGTAAACAATGTTTATTAAAATGTTATTGTGAACATAATATTAAAGTTTCTTTATCTATATCACAGAAGTATATAGGTATTTATATTGATCTATTAGTTTAAATATGTTTTAAATCTTTTAGAAAAATAACATTATTAAATATTTATCTGTTGCCTGTTATATTCTGATATTTAAAAACTTTGTAAATAATTATGTAATTGTTATTGAATAATATATAACTTGTGTTTGTATTTATAATATTGACAAAATATGACTGTATTATATATCTTTGTTACTAAGATATTGATATATATTTATTATTACTATTATATATAAACATGAAAATTTTCATTTCTTTTGTTTTGTTTTGTTTAATATTGGTTATAAATAATCCAATAACATACAAGGTGTCAATAAAATAATTATACAGTCAACGAAGTCCTATGCGGAAAAGCATATAGAAAATGTAAAATAAAATTTATTGTTTTGATCATTTACTTTTAAAAAACTTAAATTTAAAAATTTGTCAGATACAGATTAATGGATATTGTGTAATATAATCACAATTTTTGTTATATTAGTAAATAAAATTATAGAATAAAATTTTTAAGAATACAGTATTTAATAAGACAGTTAATATATCATTCTATTGATGGTAGTTTGTGTTAGTGTTTATAAATATTAACAAAACAACTAGTATATGTAAATTCTATATTAATGTCAATGTTTTTATAAAAATAATCATGATAGAATAATATAATAGTCAAATCATATTAATTCATATGAAGATCTAACATGTCTTTAAATTCGATTTTCCGAAAAACAATTTAAGTAAAAAGATCGTATTGTAAATTTTTTAATACAAATTACATTTTTGAATATATTAAGTTTGATATTAGAATATGAAGTTTAAAACTGATCGTTTGTTCTTTTCACACATCTTTTATATCAGAAATATTAAATAATAATATTTTGCAATAAGTCAGTAACTTAGTTGATAAATACATTTAATGATAATACTGAACTTTTTTTTTTGTGATATATATGACTTTAAAATCTAGTTAAACAACATATTCAATATATAAAATGTATTGACCGGTAGTTTGTACTTACAGATAAGATAAGAAAAACATATCTGTAACATATTACCTTCAGGTAATACCTAGTATTGAATATATTTTTTAATTAATAATAATAATAATAATTTAAAAGACATATTATATCGTACAAGAATTAATTACTTAAAACAAAAATGTTTTTTAATACTTTCACAATTATTATTATATGAAACTTAGTATATTGATGTTAATGTAAGTATTTCTTATGTAAAATAGAACAATTATTCTATGAAATATATTTTATTATATATATAAAGTAAAAAAGCAAACTAAAATCAAATTTAAGATTTTAAAAATGTATGATATATTTGGATAAGTTTCAAAGTAATTTCCCTTATATACCTTTGTTAGAATTATAATATATATATTTAATATCTTAATATCATGCATTGACACATATTTATTATAAGATTAAACTTCACCATAGTAATTTTGAGTATATGGGAGTAATAACTTGCTTTTGTATTAACATCGATAAAATCATGCCTAAAATGTTTCAGTGTCTTAATTGTGAGTTAATATATTATCAAATGTATTAGAATTAGTGTTCTTACTATTATGCATAAAAAAATGACCTAATGTATATAAGATTCAAAGTCTGTTTTCAGTATATATGTCTATATTGTTTATATATATTGTATCTACTTGTGTACTCATGTATACATATTATAACTTAATATATAATAACAAACAGTTCACAAATACAAAAGTTTATAAAGGTAAAGGACTAATCTAATTTTCAAATTATGAAAAATTTTTCATTGTATATTAAAAAAGAAATGAGCACTGAAACTAGAGAAACAGGGAATTAGTAAAAATGGAAAACAAAATGCATACATAAATGTGTATAAATATGTATATAAATATGTCATTCATATACATATGTTAACATCCTCCAACTAATTAATATGATTTATCTGTATATCTGAACATAATATACCACATTTCATATGTATAATCTTTATGATGAATTTGAAAACATTATATAATAGCATGATTAACTGTAACAAAATAGTGAAGCTCACAAAATAAAGATGGCCACATCTAGATTTTTATAAGTTCGTATAAAAATATAATTATAAGCATTTTTTTAAAGTAAACAGCTACAATCTAACAAAAATAAAGCAAAATTCTTAATACCTTAAGAACAAGGAAAAATAGGGCATACATTTGTATAAACTAATTCTATTATTTTTAAATGCCAAATTTATTCCAGACTTATATCCATAAATTAATTTATTTTCTGCGCACTTAGTTCACTTACTAAACATAAAAAATGAAATTTTTGGAAGCTAAACATAAATTAATACATTCATAAACTAATATATTTTTGAATATTTGTAAACATTAATAATATTTGTTTAAAGACAACAATATTTAAATTAAATATCATTTAATATGTATGCTGTACTTATGTGTAACAAATAAGTATTTTTATTATATATTAGAGTCAAACTTTATTTTTTGTAATCATTTTTTTTTATCCTTTTTGTATGTTTATAAATTTATTTTATTCTATTTTTATATTAATTGGAAAAACGTATAAAACAAAAATAACAATTACTGTTAAAATGAAATCATTTTATAAGGTGTAAAATTATTTTTCCTTCATTTAACAATAGATAAGTATCATTAGAATATATTAAAACATAAAAATTCATTTATACTATCTAATGTAGATCAAGTACTTACTAAAAGTTAAATTGTAATAATTAAATAAAATGTATCTCAAATAGTAAATGTAAAATTTGATTTAATTCAATTTTACTGAATTCAATATTTTTCTTTATTGTCCTTTTATGGTTGGTATTAATCATTACTAGTCTAATCTCAATATTACTAGACTAGTTAGTATTCTAATAGTATACTAATCTATTTTTTCTAATTCAATTGTAAGTATTATTAATTGGAGTATGATTTCAATAAAGTATCGTATAATTTTTTTACTTACTGTTATTAATTTATTAAGGATCAATAGAGATAAAAATTAATTACGATTACTAGTACTGTTTAATTTTGAGAGTTAATTGTGGGAAAAATGAACGAAAAATTTGGAATAAAATTAAAATTAAAATAAGATTTTAAGCTATTTTTGTAAAATTGTAAGTAATAATTGTAATGTAATTGTAAACAACAATCTCAAAAAGTTACATTTGATTGTATCTTTATTAATTATTGTTTTTAAATCTAATTTATTACTATTACTTCAATATTTTTTCAATTGTATACGACCTTAATATTTACATATAACATTTTTCTTTGTCCTGAATAAAGATATTCTATAATTGCATTTAAAAGAAATAATAGTCTTTGTTCAATATTAATACCATTGCATACTAATATAGTATTATGCATAAAAGATAAATACTTTCCATTAGAAATACATATGCTTTATGACATTTAGTTATAAATTTCAGTTTGAATTATCCAATTATTTATAAATATATATTGTGCAATAATTTTTATTACAATTTAAAGATGTGAAAATAATATTTTGAGTATCTTACTTATATTTCCATATAAAATAAGTAAAAATATTTCTTTTATTAAGAAATCAATATTGTGTAGCACTCATGATACGACTTTATTAGATTTTATGCACATATTAAGTAATATTAATATTTGTTGTAAAATATTTACTATAAAAATAAAGATTAGACTTTTTGATTGTTTTTGTATAAACAATATTAATATATTAATACTGAAAATATAAAATTAACATAAATCATAGAATAACATTACTTCAGTGGTACATAAAAAATACAGTATTTATAGATGATGTACATATATTTCACAAAACATCAATTAAATTAAATAAAAAATTTGGAACATTTCTTTGCTTTCTGTTAGTAACTTTGTACTTTAGTTATTGGTTATACTAGATATCTGTATTGTAGACGTTAATAGGTTAAGTACATCAGTTTACTTGATTATTATATTTTAACACATATTATCGCGTAAACGATATTTAAAAAATATTACTTACATTATTATAACACAAATTTTAATATTAGATTAAATTAGCTTTTTTTTAAAATATGATAAAAACTATTTAGTGTTAAAAAAAAAAAAAAAAACTGAATTAAATTTTAATTAAGAAAATGCAATTTGTTTTGTGTGATTAAAAACACTTCTTTTTATTATAAAATGATAAAAATGCGAATCGAAAAGAACATTTCCTTCACTTTCTAACATTGCGTTCTCTGATTTCAAATGACAGCCATATTACCGGAAGTAAGCACTTGTATGGTACAAACTTGCTCACGTGTGTGCAATTTAACCATTATGTAGTGTATTATGATAAATATTTAAATAATAAAATATGTAATGCAATTTATATGTAGATTTATATACTCACAAAACTGAATGCAAATATTTAAAATTGTTAACATTTTTACTCAATGTATTAATAAATATATAACAAACATTTTAAATTTGCATATTTCACTCGAATATAAATAAAAAAATAATATGTAATTATGATTATTCATAATATATATAACGCATTATATATTATAATTATAATCATAATTAATGAAAAATGTTATATATATAATTTTAAAAAAATCATGTGTATATAATTATACTTAAAATATTACTTAGATTTTACTATTTATTTAAAAAGTGTTTTCTTATATTTTTTAACATTCCAATAAATTTTGTAAAATAAGTTTAGGTTTGTTATGTATCGCGAACTGCAATGAAAATTTACACTTAAAAATAGCAATCATTCAAGCAGAAGTATATAAATTATATAAATAGCATATTTCTTTTATTTCAATATTTAAAACTAAAAAGGTAATAGTCGCTGGTATTTAATATCTTCGAACTTTATAATTATATTATTTTCAAAATAGTTTAAAATATGATACATATTAAAATGGAGAAAATATAATAATCGAATATTTGATAAATTAGAAATAAATGTAGTTAAAATTTTATTGTGTGCTTTTATGCGGGGGGTGAGTGTGTGTGTGTGTGAGAGAGAGAGAGAGAGAGAGAGAGAGAGAGAGAGAGAGAGAGAGAGAGAGAAAATATACATTTTGTTTTTATGAAGATGAAAGAGGAGGTAGAGAATAGGAGTATATAAATACAAATCTAATAGCAAATTATAATAGTAGCAGTTGTCACAGTAAAAGGGCAGACGTGCGCCCAAGAGAATAGCACGCGTTGTACACGCATAGATATTAGTACACTCTGTAGGTAAAGATTGTACATGTGCATATATATACGTAGGTAGTATCACCTTTAACGGGTCGATAATTTCTAAATCTTACGACATGTAGCAAATTTTTTATCATTTTGTGTTATTATTTCATAATTTTGAATAATGTCTTATATATGTATGATCAAAGTGTAAAGACCTACGTTGGTTTCAACATTCATATAATTTTTAGATAATAATTGGATTACATACAGGATGTTTTATCTAATGTGAATAACTAAACATTTGTTACTTCTGATATGATAAAATATCTAAAAATAAAGTTATTTTATTGTTTAAGAAACAAACTTCCCAATATACAAAATTTTGTTTTTACAATTAATTTCAGGTTTAAAAGTTATAAAAATTTTATTAAAGTTAGTGATATATTTATATTAATGTAATAATATTATGATACATGTAGATGATTAATTACCTAAGATTCAAACCTAAAATATCTTTGCTGCCTTTAACAACATAAGAAAATATGTGTGAAAAAGAGTATTCATTTTGAAGGGTAAAATACTTTAATGAAGTTCTTTTTTTAAGGTTATAGCTTTTGGAATCATTTAATTTTGTTTAAATGAAGTAATATATTTTCATTCCTATAATATCATAGCTAATAAAAAACAAATTTATCTACGTATGTACAATATACTGATTTTCAAATGATTCTTAGTAAAATAATTTAATGTGATTATTACAAATATATTTAAAATGTTAAACTGTTTTATATCTAAACATTTTTTGAATCTAATCCTGAAAGGTTGTTGCACATTATTTAAAATCATTTGAAATGATATTTTATATTCTTCAGTATTATGTAGGTGTACGTCTTCAGTATATTAATAATGCTCTAACATAAACTCGTCTTTTTACTTATAACAAGAAATCAAACGAGCTGATAATGTGATAAGAAGTAGATGAATAAATGAAGCGATAGATAATTTGTAAACAAATAAAAAATTTTGGCATTACAATATTCTTATGAAAATTCTGTTGATAAATATATTGTATATTAGATTCTTTTTATAGAATTTACTCCATAAAAGGAATTCAAAAGTCAGTACATTATATTGATAAAGTTGTCATTTAATCGATTACAATATTACAAACATTATACCATTTGAAATTTGATCTTGAAATTTTTGAAAATATAATTTTATGAAAAAGATTGTATTTGTTACAATATTTAACATAATTTCTCTTTTTACACAATTTCTTGTATTATTAATAATATAATATTATTATCGATTTTAGTCTTAAATGATTTACATTGCACATGTACATAGTACAAATTAGTATAAACTTAATATACTTATGTACATATAATTATTTTGTTATACAAAGAGATTATATTTTGTTAGAATTTGATGATATTCTATAATATTAGAAGCATGAGTCATATTAATTATGTGATAAATTAAATGAATACTTGTTATATATCCTATTTGCATAATTTCATAAATTTTACATATCCTTTTTAGTGTACAAAACCTTACTTACTATAACCTATACAAATCTACATACATATATAAACTTCAATTCTGATGTTGAAGGTCATTTGTCAGTCAATACATTCTATAGGGTAGGATTCGTTTTTCAAGTACATATTACGAATAATAAATAATATGATAATAAAACTATCATTTTATTTAAACAAATTTTGATAATCTCGATATTCTTAAATGTATGACCTTGAAAAAAATTTGGTGTATTTGAATATTTACTTCTATAAATAAAATACATTTTTGTAAGACGATTTATCGCATTACGGAGAGCAATAAAAATGTTTTAAATTTTTAAGCTTAGTTTTTACTAAAGATTATTTATTGAAGACAAAATATTTTTGCATAATGTTTGTTTACAACCTTTTATTTTTTATAATAGATTATTATTTTAGAAATTGTGACTATTAAACTAAAAATTTTTATGACAATAGTTTATAAAAAGATCATATTTAAAATAAGAATAAGTATAAATTATTTTATGATAATGCACCATACTGTTTAGTACAATGTATACGTTTAAAAAATAAATATCGGCAGTCTTTTTGTATAAAAGAGTATGTTTTTGTAATAAATATAATAATTAATTTCGTTCTTAGTTAGATAATTAAAATTTCATAACCTTGAGATATACCGTTTCCTTGTATCATTTTGTACTTCTCTGTGAAATAATGTTTGAAAATCTATTATTGAATTATAAAAATATTTTACAGAAACAAAAAGTAGTAAAAGAATATTATCTAATTTTTTAGAGACTAGCTATGCTTGAGTATTCTTTTTTCGTTAGATATTTTATAAATATCGAATACATAAATAATTCAATGTTTTTCATTCTTATTATTTACTTTAATAAGGTATAACATTTTTTTAATTTGCATAAGTTAAAATGCTATTTCATTATTTTTTACTGGAATTATTTTAACCTGAATAAATTATTTAATCTCAACCATGTATAGAGTATAATTTGTAAGAAAATTCTTTACGGATGAGTAACGTTTTAAATTTTAAACGTCTATCAAAATGTTGATTTAATAAAATATTATTTGAATAAAGTAATTTTCTAATTTTAACAAGTAATTGCAAACTATACAGTGTAGTACGAGATTAAGAATTTTATGAAAATATTGTCATTATATAAATTTTTAATAAAATATTCTGAAAAAATAAAATGTTAGAAAATGCAATCATTTTTAGAATATATTTTTGTGACTTTTGTACATATATATATATATACTTTTTTACTGACCCTAATTTAATGTGGTCCATATTTGTCCGATCAAAATATTTGTACTTATTATCGATATATTAAATTTTTGTACACTTATATAGTCCTTCGTTTTTCGATGTGTTCTATTTTTCTAATATTTCTTATTGATTTCTTTCCTGAACAGAAAGAATCATTTGAATTGTATGATAAAAGTTCTTTTTTATTTTAGAATAATGTTAGGAATATTAATTTTAAAAAACTTTCTTATAATTGATAAAAGTTTCATTTTTTACGTAAATAAAGTATGATTGTCTCAAATTTTATACTTGTGTAGTTAATTTAATTCTATTCATTACTTATATTATACTTACTATTTATACGTTACTATTCATATTAAAAATATAATATTTCAATATATAAGGAAAACTAATTTTTAAAATTATAGTTGTATATTTGGTAACTTATTTGATTATTATTTTGAATATAAATTATAGTTGAATCACTTATTTTATGTGTGTTTGAACTAACTAATATTGTATATTATTTACATATATCAAGAGTAATCTGTTTACTGTTCATTCTGAAATGTGAAAGGGTCTTTTCATACGTACAACTATGAATCGGGTCTCGGTGCGCGCATCAGCAACACTGAGCTCTCCAAATCCGGGGGAGTAGCGCCGCTCGCGGGAATAGCCCACCAGCGGAGCGGTACTCGCTCTGCCCGTTTCGTGCGCCAACGAAATATCTTCGACTAGACTGAAATCTTCTTCGGGCACCGAATCTAAAAAGTAAGTCCTTGAATTTTATTTCATCTTCAACAATATATATTATATTTCAATAATCGAATCCTTTGAATATTTTAGAAAAAGAAGCTAGTTTCTCTCTTGTTCTTGATCCTTCACATTTTACATTTTACGTTCTTTTATGAATACACATACACAAATTACATGCATGTGAATATATTTACGGTATTACGTATAAGTGGTACGTAGAATGGTAAATATACAATAGGCGTATTTCTATATATTTATATATGTATATATATTCAGATAATAATATACATTCATCTGTATATACATATGCATCCCTATATATAGTTATATGCATATGCATGGAAGACATGTAATTGTGTATACTGCACACGCGCGCGCGCATACGCACATATATGCGCGCAAAATGCATATATACGTATCGTGTAAATGCGAATACAAATATATAACACGCATAGGCACACACATACGAAGTCATGTACACACGCGTTTGTGCTATGTGTGTACACACGTACATATATTTATCTATATGTATATACGCGTACATGTTACGTGAATCTATACATTCTTGTGAACAATACATGGCGCCTATATTGCTAGGTATACTATAAATGTACTACCGTTTTTCGTAGATGTATGCGAATTTCAGGCAGGTTAAAAAAACTTATTTTGATACTATATTTGTATATCATTTTTATTTTCGGAGTATATGCACGTATACGTGTATAACATATGCGTGTAGCAATTATTTGTGAAATGTACAAATTCCGCCTTCATTTTGTTCACCTTCTACTTGTTATCTAACCTTATATTGCGCACAGATTTGGTAAGTTGTGCATTTCAGTAGTGTTGTACAGCTTATTTGAATTTATTTTTATATAATTTTCTATTTAGAGAAAAATTTCACTAAACACATTACATGCCTACTGGCAAAACGAGCAATATCGATCGAAACGATGATTTTTGTTTCGATGTTCAACGTGTATTTACGACATTTCAGTAGTATAAATTCGTGATAGTATGCTAATATGATCACTCGTATTTTATTTAATCATTCAATTTGTGTTATTTGAAAAGTATTTGGACTTATTGTTATAGAAAAAGAAATGTTGAAATTACAAACATATTACACATATTTTTGCAAATATTTCAATTTATCATGTATCAATTATTTCAATTTATCATATCACTATCTTACTTATATAAATATTCTTAATTATTACCTTACTAATATATACCATTAATTTATTTAAACAAATATCCATTATATTATATTTTGTACCACTACTTATTTCTAAAAATATGTAAGTAAATTTTAACTATGTGACCGGCATGATATAATTATAAATTTATGATTAACTATTATATTGAATGTGCGATATGCATTTTTAGATATTTTCAATTTTTTTAATTAAGTAAATAAAACAATTAAAGTATTTAATATAATAGTATTGAATCATATTGACAAAATTTCTTAACTTTTTCTACTAAAATTTTTTATTGTGATATTTCTCTATTCCTTAAATAGATATATTTACAATAATCTGAAAATTCTCTATTACGTTTTGATTAGTATACATGTATTTTATTAATTAAATGTTATGAAATAAAATATACAAATATAGAATATAGTATAAATATGATAAAAATGTAATTGAAAATCCTATGAAAGTATATTTACTTTAAAAAGCACTTAATTAATTTAAAAACAGTATAAAAAATGGTTTGAAATTTTTTATAACGAAAAATATATAAAAATATGTAATTATATTTTGCAAAGGTAGGATTTTATTGAGCCTATCTTTTGTCTCTTTAACGTATAAGTTCCAAATTCCTTAAACATTCTACTTATATTCAATAAATCTACATTACTATTCTGTATTTCATAATATATTTGTAGAAATCAAAGAAAATTTTAAACTTATTGATATTGCTTTTTGTTCCCAATTTTTCTTACATTCAACATAAAAACTAATCCATAATTTGTCTTATTATAATTTTCATTTTATAAAGTCAATAATTTAAATTAATACTCTTGATTATAAAAATATAACTATAGCACATTTTACACAATATCGTTGAATGTGAATATCATATACGATATACACATTGTGGAATGAATTTTAATATCTAGTCTCTTAGCCGTATGTTCAGAATAAACATTGAAAGTGTTAATAATTAATGGTCATTGCATAGTATAATAAAATAATAAGAAATATCTAAGTCATTTACATTTACAGTAAATAATAGAGTTGCATCACTTATAATAAATATTAATAATTACATTACATGTAGTATAGCTAAAAGAAATAAACCACATAGTTCTGTAATTAGCAGTTTACTCAACTATCTCTTATATTACATTGTGAGGAGGTTATATTTTGTACATAGAAAATTGCAAGGTGAATTGTTGAAAAGAAAACAATTTTTAGTAGTAATAAAGGATTTAACTAGAAAAATGTTCTTTCAGCATCCATCAAATTTCATTCTATTTTATTTCATTATATTTATATTTAAGCTGATTTTATATCAAATTCAAATAATCAATAATTATTTGAGTTGTTTTTACATAAATTGATTTTTTGTTTATTGTAATATGAATATTATTGAGTAAATGTACATAAATCTACATATCTAATATAACTTACTTGAAAAATGGGACATTGTTTTTATATTTTTGAGAAATATAAATAATAGGAATAAAATATAAATAATATGAAATATAAAATATAAATATGTTATGTATTATATTTAAAATTCTTAAGTTTTATAATGACATTTTACTTCATAAAATTAAGTATTACAAAATTGATTTTAATAATATCTAATATTACATAATTTAATATTAATTTGGAATAAAACAGATATATGAAAAACGATATGATTTATAAAATCAATAACAAAGAAATATTTATAAAATTATTTAAAAAAGGAGAAGAAGGCATTAGGTATTCCTTACTTAATACTAAATGCCGTATTGCAGTTATATACATAAAGAGGTAAAATATATATTGTTGGTAATATGATGTTATTCTAAGCATTATAAAATGAATCATTGTTAGAATTACTAATAATATATAAATATTGTTTTTAATTGAAATAATCACACAATAAGTACATAATAAGTTTACCTCTTTTTAAGTTTACTATCTACTTACAAACATTATGTAAATCTAATTTTACCCGTGTAGTAATAAATAAGCATTTATTTCATTTAGTTTAACTCTTTAAAGTATAAATTTTTTTTTAATTTACTAGTAAAAAATGATTTAATTTTTTGTTGACATAAATTCATAATTTTTAGATATTGCATTATGTTTTTCTAATTTTTAATTGTATTTGATATATCTTCATCTTATAATACAAAAATATATATAAGTTAGCAAGTGTAAAAATAATTTTATAATATTAACACAATAATAATAAAAACAATAGATTGCCACTTAGAACTATTAGGAAAAAGAAATAGTGATAAACAGTTGTTCATTGAAAGGTTGAAAGAATTAATTAGAAGTGATATAAAAATTATGAAATTATTATTTGTTCATTAAATATACAGAGAAGTGTTACAGAAACAATATACATTTTGAGGTATAAAAATGTACAGTGTAGTATAGTTGTGGTATGAAAAAGTATAATGTAGTACATTTGTGGTATAAAAAGGTATAGCGTAGTATATTTGTGGAATGAAAAAGTATAGTATAGTATACTTATGGTTTAAAAAATTCGTAGATGTCAATGGTTAAAGTAAAGTATTAAGTGATATACGTATCATTGTAGAAGTTTATTGGTCAAGTCTGCCTATGTACATATTACTTGTATTATATGCATTAAGTTGAAAAAGAATCTTAAGTGATGGAAAATTTACTAACATGGATCATTTTAGAATTGTTTAGTGTTTTTATTAAAAAGAAGAAAAAAGTTAAAAATACTATGTAATATTTCAAGAATTAGAAGTTAAAAGCATAATTATTTTTATCATTTATAAAAATACAATTAATTCCGAAATAAATTTATATCAAATTCATTTGTTAATTAAAATTTAAAATTTATATTTAAAATTATGAAATAAATTATTTGAAATATTATGGTCATGTTATTTTTATGATATTGTTACCATAAATAGAAATACAGAAAAATACAATCTGTATTCTTTACTTAATGTGAAAAATGTTTATTATATTTCAATACTTTATATATTTTTAATAATTTAGTTTCAGTTTGGCCTTTCAACGAAAACATAAATGTTTTTTAATCATAAATGTTCATTTTAATAATAGAAATATATATTTCTATTTTACTTTTGTTTTGTTTTGTTTATATTGCTACTTTTACATGATATTAGTACTAATTGCAATTTTGTAATTAGAATTATTTGTATTACATACTAATGTAAAAGATGTATAAATTTTAGAGCAAAATTATTATCCATAATTTTCATTATAAATTTGTTAAATTACATTATTCAATTGTTAACATTATAAGTTTATAATAATTTTGAAATAAAATAGGGAGTTAATGTGACAGTAAATATGTAATAATATTTAATTATATATTTTAATATGATAAAGTGAAAGTGCTAATTTTTTTAGTTCATGTATAAAATAGTAATTTTATTAAATTTCTACAAGTTTGATATGTATTTTAATATTTCAAAAATTTACTTCTGTAATGTTGTGTTTATGATCCATGATGTCTAAAAGTAAATTTTGCAAATAATATAGTCCCATATGTGCAAAAGGTGATATTCATATTAAAAGGATTAGAATTTTGATATGTTCAGTTCTATTGTTATATTAATATTAAATGTACAAAATTTCAAATCTAATAAGTAAAGCATATATATGTGATTACAAGGAAAAATACCACATGTCACATATTCTCATTTTTGAGATATTGTTGTTTAAAGTTGTTCTAAATATCAGCTTTTCTTATTAGCGTTTATAAGCATTCATAATGTTTTGAAGACATGAAGTTCATTTTTATTAATTTGTTTCTGGTATATATATATAAACTATATATTTTGTGTTCTATTAATGAAAAAACTAAAATCTTTTTAAATTATGACATGTTGTGTTTTTCCTTACAACCATGGATATATAATAAATATATATGAAATATAAAAAAAAATATGATTATAATTTGAGATATAAATAAAATTTCATTCAATTAATTTTTTTTTAATTTATATATTCATTGTAATGATTAATGATTTCAAATAATTATAACCATTAATATAATAGAAAATTATATATATTTGGTATATTTTATTCTCATATATTCATATATTTAATTGAAAATTAATATATTGTTTACATTAAAAATAAAACATACATCAATATTTTTATTTAAAAAAAGTCTATTTTGTCTATATGTAATCTGTTTCTAAAATATTTCAGAAATTTGTTCATTAATTTATTTGTTTATATTTAAATAATTATTTTCCATTAAACACTAAATATTTTACGTGAATATTAATTCACATATTATGATAGTAGTATTGTTAGTAATATATAATATTCTTACTATTTTTATATTAAATATCTGATAATTATAAAATAATCTATAATAACAAATAAGATCATAAATTATTTAATTTACAGATCTCCACTGGCATGGAGCTAGGAGCACACTGATAGTGATAGTCTACAAGGTTAGTAAAAATTTGTTGTAGTTGGTATTTTGTAATATCTATCATTTCTAATTTATCTTTTTATAAACTATACAAAATTCGTGATAATTTTTTGTTTTACTAATTGTAAGTTGAATTAAAATATAATAAGTCTTTCTTTTGTCATGGTAATGAACCTTAAATTATTAAATTTCTCATGCATTCAAGAATTTGTTTTTTGTTTTTATTCTTAACTAAAAACAATTAAAGATTATGATATGTATACTTTTGTCAATTGTAATTTACAAGATTAATTGATTAAAATAATATTAGTGTAAAATAAAAGATAAAGTATTGCAAATTTTTTACTAAATTATGTATTAATAAGTGGTAATAAATACATAAATAATATTTCTTAGATCTTGGTTTCTATGCATTGCCTGCCAAAGAAGAACTGAGCCCAATGTTTCCACACAATTCTAGTTCACATGAGATTTCTACAGAAACAAATGCCTTCGTACAAAATTCCATGGTGAGTATAAGTTACAATTTCTAATAGTTTTGTTTAATTTATTAGTTTGTAATGTTTTTCTAATTTAATTGCAATGTATTTTAGTTTTAACTTTCAATATATTTTTTTATAATACGATAATTTGAATCCTTAATATCATTTTTGTGAAATATGCCATGAAACCAGATATATATAATAAACATGTACAATGTACAAAATTTTTGTATATAGAAAAATAGCGACATTCAATAAAAATGTTCAAATATTTTATATAAATGTATGAGAATACAAAAAATATTTAAAAATGTAAATATTACAGTAGACAAGAAATTTTTGATATTGTTTTTTCTATTATGTATAATACTAATAATAATATTAATAATATATAATTATTTTCCAATATAAAAATATAAATATATAAACAAATTCAGAAAAATTTTGTAACTTCAAATTGTTTGAAAAATATTGTAAAACAAATTTCTTTATTATGACAGTTTAAAAATCTTTTCCAACAATTTTTTTTTTTTCCAAATTATTCTTGAAACTTCTAACCTTATTGAAATGTATTTTATATATGATATTTGAAAATTTTTAAATATTTAAATGTAATTTTTTATGCTATATAATCGTTCTTCCAAAAATAATTTAAATGTACATTTTCATTTATTACTACCTTCAAATCCAGTTAACATATTAACTATATGTTAAATCATTTTTTAAAAGGAAATTTATCAAAAAGTGAAATTGACTTTATTTAATTTAAACTGTATATACATATATCACTAAAAATATCTGACATTTGTAATTTATTATTAATTTCTTTTGTTTAATTTTTGTGGAAAAAAAGTAAATTAAATTTTTCCAATTAATAAGATGTATAGATTGAAAAGTATTATAATTTATTATATGTTGGTAAATATCTTACATAGATGTCACAATTTTCTTTTTTTTTTTTTTTTTTTTTTTTTTTTTTATGTATATTGTGTATATTTTATGCATAATTTTTTATGTATATGTTTACAAAAATCTTTAATTTATGTTTAATTTGTGCAATAAAATTACATTATTTTTATATATTTTGTTAACATAATCTAAACTAAATCTGAAAATTATGTGTACATGTATGATATACATATGTAGACTATAAATATATTATAGAAAAATATATGAAATTTTTTCTTTTTACATTAAAAATTAGTATTCATTGTTTGGTTATAAATGTATATTTAATATTTTGCGTTTGATTTTTTTAATGAGAATACAATTTTATGGAAATTAACATGTATAATTTTTAATCTTTCAACAATGAATATATATGATTAATCTTTTTTGTTTCATGTGTAATTCTCTTCATGTAATATATTTCACGTATAAAATTTCTTTGATATGCATAATGAATTTTTAAGAGAGTTAAACAAGACTTACGCCTAACAATGTTATATTAAGTTATGTAATATTAGCATCTATAATAATTAATATATAAAATTATATGAAAGAAGTTCTTGTGATTTCGTCATTTAGCTCTTTATGTTTGCAGCAAACGTCTGTTTTTGACATTGTTTAAGATTCATTAACATTATATGCATATAATTCCAATAATATAACATGACATATATTATATTCAATGCATAGTCTTTCACTTCAAAAGTTAAAGTGAAGTTGTTGAAAAGTTACGCAAATTATTAAATATTTATAATTAAATATATGTATTTTTAGTTTTACACTGCAAAAGTAACACACATTCTTTCTATAAGATTTTACATGAAGGATTGACAAATTGTAGTACATAGGATTGTAGTTCACTAAAGAGAAAGGACTATATAAAGGCTATATCTATAATACCGTTATTTTTTTGTTTCAGGGGGATGTAGTAGTATTAGGGAAAAGCAGTCCGATAAGGGTTGGGGAGGGAAGAGAATCAGAGAATGATAGGTACTGTGATATCGAGTTCATAAACAACATGATGGCTAAACCTATTGGCCATCTCGAAAATACCGCCGCCAATGACTTTTTAACCGTCCTGTCGAACCAAACTGGTAACTATACATTTTTATGATATATATACATATATATATATACACACACATATATACATACATACATACATACATACATACGTACGTACATACATACATACATACATACATACATACATACATACATACATACATACAT